CTCGATGAGTTTGTTGAACGGAGTGAGAGCTGCGACCTAGTGGTCGACGGCTCGGCTACACAGTATCCGATTCTTGAGCTCAACCGTGCTTCTTTCGCGGGGGTCTATTTGGAACCAGGGGACGTTTACCGGGTTCGGACCCGCTTCATGGCCACTGTGTGGCCAGTGTTGCACCAGACGCCCCAGGCGGCTGAAAACTTGGGCCTGGCCACTGCGTGTGCGTTTAGTTCGGGCATGACTTCCCCTTTCAGTGGTTGCAAAGGAGCCGTGCGGTTGCATAACCTCCCGGACGAGGCGCAGCTTTGCCCGCGTGAAATGTTTGCTGGCTTTCGACGTGCCGCGCAGCAGTCGCCTGGTTTTGATGCCCTGGGGGAGGCCCAGCATACGCCCGCCCATAGGCCGGATGCTATTATACAGGCCCTTCCCCCAGACCAGAAGCGAATAGCTTTAGCCAACCAGGATGCTGACCGCCTGGCTAAGTATGCCCTCTCGCTTCATCCGCAGCCTGCATCTGCTGATCTGGAGATGCTAGATAGACAGGTGCAGGCCCTTCGAGCATGCGCGCTAATGTTCGGGAAGGTGCTCTCTCTTTTTCCTGAGCTGCACTTTGAGAGACCCCCGAAAGAGAAGAGGTTGCCTAGAGTCCCGCCCCCGCCTGACTGGCATGAGTGGGATGAGCTCAGTGGCGATCGACCTGCTTTCAGATGCAAGAGATGTTTCAGGATTCCGTTCGAGGGCGAGTCCCGCCCGATGAATGGTTGCGGGGGTTTGTCCACAGCACTGAGACGCCTCCAGGGTGCTGAGACCGAGCGGCAACATAAGCTGAGTTTGCCATCCTGCACAAGACCCAGAGGCCGCTGTTTTTCTGTTTTGCCTGCGGTGCTTACACCAGCAGGCGATGTCACTTGCTAGGTCAGACCTGCGTCAAGAAGCTGAGCACTGCTGGTGAACAGGTGCTCACACGACTGCAGGCTGGCCTCCACCCTCATTACAGAAAGAGCACTGAGGGTGATGACTCGCTGGCGCCTGCTCGAGCGCCGTCGAAGTCGGTGCTTCTTGCCCCTCCTGGCCCGCTCGCTGCGGGGTCGTCTCGCTTGGTCGATTCCGACCGCTTGCGAGCGCTCGCAGCCCGTATTCAGGCCAAGGAGGAGGCATCCAGGCGCTAGCTGCTGCCTGAAGCTGACGTTCTGCCGCAAGGTCGTCCCGTCCTCGTCCTCCTCCTCCTCCTCCTCCTCCTCCTCCTTCCTTCTACTCCGGCCCATCCACCTCCTCCTCTCTCCTCTCTCCCCTCTCCGCCCTCACTCCTCTTGTCCATCGTCCTCCTCCTGCTCCTCGTCCTCGTCCTCACCCTGTTTCTCCACCAGCTCCTCGTCCCCGTGAACCTCTATCTCCTCGTCATCGTCGTCCTGCTCCTCCTCAACTTTCTCTCCGTCCTCGTGCTGCTCGCATTTGACCTCCTCGTTCTTGTCATCGTTGTCGTCGTTGTCCTCCTCCTCCTCCTCCTTTCTCATCTTCGTCCCTGATGTTCTTTGTCCCCTGTATTCCTTCCCTTCCTCACACCTCTCTTTCTTCCTTCTTCTTATTCTTCTGATTCTTCTTGTTTCTCCTATTCTCCCCCCTCCACCTCCTGCTCGACCCTCTTCTTTCTCCTACTCCTTCCGCCTGCTCCTGCTCCTCCTTCTTCTCCACCTCCGCCTCCCCTCTTCCACCACCACCTCCTCCCCCCTCCTACACTTCGGTTTGCTCCTCATCCTTCTTCTCTTCCTCTGGCTCCTCGTCGTCCTCGCCACCCTCCTCGTCTCGAGGGGCGTGCGCCGATGGAGTGTCGCCCATGGGCCCCTCGTGGTCAGAACAACGGCACGTAGGCTGCCCTCTTCGCCTCCACCTCGAATGCGTCGAAGTCGAAAGGGTTGTCTGCGCCTGGCAGCACTGGCTGGCAGGGAGGCGGGCAAGGAGGTATGAAGAAAAGGAAGGGCGAAGGGTATGGGAGGAGCGAGAGGGTGGAGGGGAGGAACGGAGAGAGGGAGGCAGGGAGAGGGACGGAGGCAGTCAGGAGGAGGGGAGGGAACGAGGGATGGACAGAGTATGCAGGCAGGGAGGGAAGGATGCAGGGAGGGAGGGCAGGGAAGGGGGAGGCGAGGGAAGAAGGAATAGGGAGGGCATATCGAGGGAAGGTGATTGGGAAAGCTCCTGGCCTCCTCCGCGCCTCCTTACCCCGCCCGCCCTCCCCGCCTGGCAGCTCCGGCTTCTGCGGCATCGGCGGCGCCGGCGCACTGTGGCTGGGCGGCCTTGGGGCCTCCGCGGGGGCACGGGGGGGGGGCAGGCCGCCATGAGGGACTTGGGGGGGACCAGGGCACCCCGAGGCTGCTTGGGTGCGGATGCTGTGAGAGGTTACCATGGGGGCACGCATGGTGCCACGTGGGCACTAAGGTGCCAAAGCACGACGACGATACTGGGATGCAGACGGCGGAGGGTTAAACGGGGACACCAAGGTACTTGTGGATGCCTGAATGCCATGGTACCACGAAAACGCTGGGATGCGGCTGGAGGATACCATGGGGGTATATGGTAACATAAAGATGCTGGGATGCGGATTGTGGTGGAGGATGCCATTTGGGATACCAGTATACCAAGTGGGTACGAAGGTACCGCCAGCACGCCAGCCTACCAATGAACAGCCATGGGGATGCATCAATACCCCGCGGCCAGCGTAGCATGGTCACGGAAGGTCACCGCGAGGGCACTTGTACCTTACGGTGGTGCATTCCCTTGACAAGAAACCCAGATCCTGAAACCAGACAATATCAGGGACTTGGAAATCTTGAAGCCCTGGGATGTTATACCCAGCCGCGTGACACCCAAGAAACCGAGGGCATGTAGGTACCCCGTCCAAACACAAACGGCTTATTGCTGCGCGTCCCCAGTGTACGGACGGTGAGGACCGATGGCAGAAGTTGCGCGCGATACGGAGAACGAGCGAAGGCGAAGCGGCCCAGCACCGACACCGCGACAGGTGTCCAGAATTGAACGCGGTGACCGAGCTCAGTCACAAACGTTCCCTTCGACATGCGCATCAAGCGTCTGGGGCCGCGCGGGAATAAGTGCCCGACCTCGGTAGCAATCGCACATCGGCCGAACCCATCAACAAGTCCCCCTTTGAGCTCTGGCGGCGACGGCGGCAACATAGCCGCCAGACCGACAAACAGGCCCAGTTCCTCCGTAACAAGAAGGAGCTCCGAAGTGCAAACGCTGTTTGCGGAATGACTCCTCCCTGTAGCATCCCGAGACATGTCGATAGGGCGTGCCGGGCGATTCGCCTGAGACGCCCATACCATGTATCATTCTGAAACTGAGCATTTGCACGAGTTTCACGGGTGGACAATAGGAATTTCTCAAAATTTGGATCTCGCCTTAGCACCGCGCACATTCGTCTTAAGCAACATGCAGAAGTTTCACGGATGGAGGGCGGGTCGTCTTCAAAGTGTGGCTCTCGCCTCAGTGCCGCGCACATTCGTGATACAACTTGTAGGAGCTTCATGGATTGAGGGCGAGTGATTTTCAAAATGTGGGCCTAGCCACAGCGCCGCGCACCTTCGTCTTTCGAGTCTGCAAGAGTCTGTCGGATGCAAGGCGGCCCGTTGTCAAAATGTAGCTCTCGCCTTAGCACCGCGCATTTTCGTCTTAAAAATTTGCATCAGTCTGCAACAGCTTCACGGATGGAGGGGCCGGTTCCTTTTTAAGCATGTGGCCTTCGCCTTAGCACCGCGCGCGTTCGTCTCAAACATCTGCATGACCTTCGCGGCTGGAGGGCACGTCGGTTTCAAAATGTGGCTCTCGCCCTGGCGCCGCGCACATTCGTCCGAAACGTTTGAAAAGGTCTCACGGATAGAGGGCGAGCCGGTTTCAAAAGGCTGCTCCAGCAACGCGCCACGCACGTTCGTCGTAAACCTCTGCAAGAGCTGCACGGGCGAGGGGCTGGTGGTGTTCATAGTGTGGGCCTAGCCCCCGCGCCGCGCACATTGGTCTTACAAGTTTGCAAGCATTTCACACATTGAGGGCGGTCCTTCTTCAAAACGTGGCTCTCGCCCCAGCGCCGCGCACATCCGTCTTGAACAATTTCACGGATTTCACGGATGGAGGGCCGGTCAGGTTCAAAATGGGGCGCTCGCCCCAGCGTCGTGCATATTCGTATGAGAAATCTGCGAGGGTTTCGCGGACGGAGGGCGGTTTCTTGTCAAAACGTGGTTCTCGCCCCGGCGCCGCGCACGTTCGTCTTAAAACTTTGCAAGAGCGTCACGGGTGGAGGGCGGGTGGTTTTCAAAATATTGTTCTCGCCCAAGCGCCACGCGCATTCACCTCTCAAATCTGTCACGATCTAACGGCTTCTTATGGGGGGGGACGTCCCCGAAGCGGGGTGCCGACACGATTTGGAATTGCTAGGGCGCAGAAGTCATGTGGATTCGTGGTGTTGAAGTCCCAGGAGCGATGCAGAATCGTCGGGGTGAAATCGTAAAACTTAAAACTGATTCGCGGCGCTGGAATCCAAGGCGTCGTGTTTTGGCACGGTTGACGATTCTCAGGCGGTTGTCCTCCAACGGGGCATTTCCAGCAACAAATTTTCATAGGGACCTGCGAAAGGAAAACTTGGAAGGTTTATTGCAATGCTCCTCCTCCTCTTTTATTCCAACCCTCCCTCCTCCTCCCTCCTCCCCCTCTAATTTAGCTTCTCCTCTTCCCCCTCCTCCTCCTACTCCCGCCCTCCTCCTTCTCCTCCTCTTCCTCCTCTGCCTCCTCCTTTTCTTCCGCTCCCAATCCTTTCTCAAGCACTCCTCCTCCTCCTCCTCCTCCTCCTCCTCCTCCTCCTCCTGCAAACACATCCCTCCTTTCGCTCTTGCTCCTTCCTCCAGACGATCTTGTACTCTCTCCTCCTCTCTAAACCTCCTCCTCCTCCTCCTTCTTCTCCTCTCCCTCCCTCCTTACCTCCCCCTGCATGCACGCCC